TGAAATTAACCATCACACATTCCAAAGGGCAGAGTTCCCATCAAATTGTCTCACTAACAGGGACTTGGTACCTCCAGGGAAGTAATACAGAAGTTGAACACGTATATTTTTAGCTTTTATTTCACTTATTGGATTTTTCCATTTCAGGTAGATTCCACCATTTGGAGACAACTTGTGACATGCTCTAAGTCAGCTTTCCCTTTGTTCCTTTAGGGAATGAAGACATTGCCATATTTCTGCTGCGTCATGGGGCCTTTTTCTGCTCTTACATCTTACTGGACAGCCCTGACCCTAGCAAACACCTCCTCAGGAAGTACTTCATAGAAACCAGTGCCTGGCCCAGCGGTTGTCCCGGAAAATCGGTAAGTAGGTACTGCCTCTGGGCTGCTGATATGAAATCTGAGTTTCAGACATTTCATCAGAGTTTGTTGTTATTGCTGGTGTGTTTCTCAAAGTTGCTTAAATATGTGATCATTTTTAACAATTTGTTTTCAGATATTCTAATTATTTCTTTATTAAGTTTTGATCAAGACAAAAGTTGTGTGTGCCCGATACAAGCGAAGCTAGAGATTGAATACAAATTACTGATACTTTCGTTGGAGTAAATAATTTAACAACGCAGTGGGGGTCTTTTCACACTTTAAGGGCTAAGTTTTCATTTTTCACTGGGTTTAGTTTAGTTATTTTGTTTATGATTTTATTTAGCTTTTTATTTTAAACATACACACGGCCTAGTTTTAGATTTCATTACGAAAAACAAAACTAGTGTTCATGTATACATCTGCATTACATAAGAAGATAATTTCTTCCCCCAATTTTACATAAGTATGCTCCTAGAGTTTATTGCAACATTTTTGGCTTCTTAATTCTTACATTTTTTAGAGGGGATTCAGTTTGTATGTGGTATGAAAGAGAGGGTCTAGCTTTCATCTCTTCTAGATAAATGGACAATTGTTCTAGCACAATTTTTAGAAAGAAAGTTTTCTTTTGGTCTGAAATGAAATACCACCATTGTCATTTTCCCCAATAGATACCGTGTAATGTGGGGATTCTCAGGCCTGGCTCACTGACTTGTTTCTGTATAAATGACATGCTATTTTGATTACACAAATTTTATTTAATTCTTAAAATACGTTGATGTAAGTTTTCTATTCATTATTTATCTTTTTTAAAAGATGTCCTGACTATTACTAGTCTATTTTTTCCATTTCCTCCATTGACATTATTTGATAACTTTTGTTTTCTGTTCTTTAATGAGATTGTATAGTTTTCTTTTTAAAGGTGATGGACCTGTCTTGTGTATTTGTGGCTTCTTTATTGGTTTTTTTGTTTTGTTTTGTTTTTGCCACTGTTTGAATGAGATTTGTGTAATTTTTTCCCCCGTTTTGATTTCCAACATGATGCTAAAGCTATGGAGAAAAGACCTTCTTTAAAAAATTTATGTTTTAG